CCCCCTCCCCTCCACAATAAACCCAGGGAGGGGCCCTCATTAACCATACACAAAAAATCAGCTTTTAGACGGTTTAAAAAAATGTGGAATTTTGTTTAAAAAAATCAGATAATAATGCCAGAATAATAGAATAATAACTCTATAATAATAATAATAATAATATAATCATTTTTGAATTCTTGTTTGGTCACAAACTGTCAATTCTTTTTCCTCTGCTGTCTTTTAGTTGTTGTTTTTTTATTCCACGACAAGCTCTAGTTTCATAATGCTCAGTTATGGAATGTGCCACTCCCCACCGTCGGGTCGGCTCGCTATTAATTCACCGTCAGTTTTCAAAATGGTATTTTCTCCACACCAGGGATCGGCAGGAGTTAAGTTACAGAGACACAATGCAATCTGAGGTGACCTACTCTCAGCAGAAGATGCCGCTGCCGCTGCCGTGCCGACGCAGCAGGAAATTGTCCATATTTACTTTCACACGTGCACGCCCACGTGCACACACTCACACCTGCACACAACGCTGCATGAGAGAAGTTTGTGTACGATGGGACATCTGTCCTGTCAGTTATCGGACTCGGTTGAAGAACGGAGGCATGAACTGACCTTAGGGCTGTTTCAGTTCTGGTTGGATGTAGAATGCTGGGCAAAATAATTTAATGTACAAGAAGAAACTTAAACTTTCAAAGATAATTTGGCACATTTGACCATAACCAGAGACCACATCATTAATCAGTGTTTGATGGACCGGATAGAAAAAGCCCAGCGGGCCATATCTGGCCCACGGGCCATAGTTTGGCCATCAGAAGAGAACAGGTTTACTGCTCTTCTATACCAACAGTTTAACATTAGGATTTCAAAGTGAGTGAACTGCACCCTGGGATACTTTGGCGTCTCTACTGTATATGTGGCTCCAGGATTGGTTGAAATGAATCAAGCTTTGAAAATATCTAAAAAAAATATATCTTGGAGCGTTCATTCTGTTTGTTTATTAGGCAACAAGTTTAACAGCAGCAATAACAGATGAGACTGTGGATGTTGGTGAGTTTCCAAAATAGTTAAAACACCTGAACCTGAACACCGTGATTACAATAGAAAGCATTTCACGTGTCTATTCATCTGTCAATCATGGACCACAGAGGTTAGAGGACTCTCATCGACCCGCGGTCTGATCAGTGACTGATGCATGTCTGAAGTGTTGATCCAACAACAACAACTGTGTAATACCTTATGAATGGTCTGTTTGTGACTCTCCCTCTTCTTCTCCTCCTCTTTCCGCGCCTGCACACCAGCCATGCGCCGATCCTCGTCCTGAAAGAGAAAGCTGCAATCAGAGCGGCGCTCCATTTCACGAGTTCATGAGAAAGAGAGGTGACCAACAAAAGAGGCGGTCAGGAGAGCGGACCACCGAGGAGGCTGGGAGAGTCTGCTGCATCACAGGATTATCTGTGTGATTCCCAGTCTCCAATCAACCAGCCCAGCTGTTGAGGGAAGCTGAAACTCCCAGAATGCAATGCTGCCAACAGAATCTGATTGTGCCAGCTGAGAGCGAGAGAGGAGAGGAGAACGAGGGGGGGGGGTTCAGCTGTGTGTGGGTAAGCAGAGACGATGCCTCAGTCTGATCAATACAGGGAAAAAGCTAACCTCTGAGGGGTGAGGGCACTGACGTCAGCCAGCAGGGAGGAAAGAGGTGCATGCTGGGAAAATGACTAACCAGTATCTGCTCTTTGGTTACATTTAAAAAAATATATAAATATTTTTCACCAAAAATAAAAAATGTTTGTAATAAAACAAAAAAAAAATATATGAACAACACAAAGGAAGGAAGGAAGGAAGGAAAAAAGAAAGAAGGAAGGTAGGAAAGAAGAAAGGAGGAAAGGGAGGAAGGAACGAAGGAAGGAAGGAAGGAAGGGAGGAAGGAAAAAAGAAGGAAGGAAGGAAGGGAGGGAGGAAAAAAGAAGGAAGGAAGGAAGGAAGGAAGGAAGGGAGGGAGGGAAGGAAGGAAGGAAGGAAGGAAGGAAAGAAGGAAGGAAGGGAGGGATACCCCTTCAGCAAATGTACCAATGTGTCTCATACGTTTTATTTACTTTCTGTTTAATTTCATTCCAACTAAATCAATTTTCTTCTTCCAACAGCCAATCAACAGCCAATCAACAGGCCTCTGTGAACAAACGTTGTTTTTCTCCACAATTATTTCAGGGTTGAGGAGAAAACTGATTTTCAGTGATAACTGTGATGTTTCACCCTGAAGCACTAACATGACACAAACTGACAGGAAGAGGTCAAATCAGTACGCACCTCCAACAAGTAAAACTTTTTCAGAACTACAGTACAAAGTACACACACTCTCCTGACTTGACAGCTACAAAGAAGCAGTCGTTTCCTGGGGAGTTGAAGGAACCTCTGGGTCATGAAACGCTACTGAACCTTAACATTTCAAGTAAAAACATGAAAAACTGTAGAAAATGCAGTTACGACTTTTACCACATCAGCAGCTCAGCACCGTGTGCTTAGGGCAAGGTGTGTGGTGCTGTCAGATTCCTGCAAAGTATTCAGAGTACAAGCTCAGACCTGGGTCCAACCTCTGAAAACATGTGGATGCTTCGGTGCAGCACTTGTTTGGTGCCGTCTATAAATAGAACGACTTCGTGTTTATGCTCGACAAAACCCTAAATTGTTGTTTTGATGGAGGTGACGTGCACCACCACGAGCGCTCCAGATGTTTAGCTCATTGTCACTGCTTAATCATCTGTGCATTTTTGCCTCAAAAGGAATGTTGAAGCTGTGTGAGAGAACAAAGACCCAGGACTAAAGTATCATGGGGGGGGGCAGGAAGCTGAATAGGAGGTGAGAGCCTTGGATGACAGCGTCTTCACAGGTTCTGTGTGCAGTTAATGTTATCTGTAAAGTGAGCATCAAAGCTCAACATAAAGACATACTTTAGCTACACGTGTCTGTCGACTGTATATAAGGAGTGGATGTGGCCGTAAAGTCAGACCTGCTACTGTAATACCTTGAGATACGAGCGTCCCGATATACGAGTATTCCAGGATATGAGCAAGCATAAAAATTTTGCTTCGAGATACGAGCACGCTTACAGACGGCGATGCTAGTTGGCCGAGCACTCGGAGCAGCCCACGCCACCTAACTCATTCACTTCATGGTTTCGTTGTCCTGATTTGAGAGTGAAAGTGAGGGTAGTCAGGAGAAACACATGCCACATGTTTGTCTCTATAGCAATTAAAAACATGTTCTTTTCATTGTTATTAGCACTAATAAGGCAGTTTTTTTTAGAGGGCCGGAACGGATACATTTTTTTCCTGTTATTTCTTATGGGATTTCATTTTTTTCCTGTTATTTCTTATGGAATTTGAGATACGAACACCACGAGTTACGAGCTCGGTCCTGGAACGGATTATGCTCGTATCTCGAGGTTCCACTGTACTGTTATTTTATTCCTAAAGAACAAAGTGTGAGATGTGATGTGACATGTGACAAAAGTAAATTAGAGACAACAGCCGTCCATGTCTCACATCATAAAAGAATCAATATTAAAAAAAACTAAAACAGATCTTCAACAGTAAAACAATAATTAAGAAAATCACTCACAAACAGCCACACTTTTTTTAGAAATACACACAAAGAAAACTCATCCTTACTGTGATGCGCTTCATGTCCAGCTGTCTCAGATGAAGCACACAGCGCAGGACGGCCTGCTTGTACCATGTCTCCAGGGCTACAGGATTCCCATCCAGGGTGAGCTGGGAAAGGGATGGAGACTGTCCGAGGCCGACCAGCTGATCAAGACTGCAAAGAAATTGGAAAGAAAAAAAAATTAATTAAATTGCATTTGTGTTATATTTTATTTCCTTATTTTTAAACTTTCATTTGCAGCCTGTCTTTCCTCAGAGGTGGAAAAAAAAAGATCTGATCTGTGTAAATATCCGCCTTTGGCATGAACTGACATGGAAAAGCACAGTCATGGTGATATTTCCATCGCTAATAAGTGATGAAAGGCTTGATTATCATTTTTACTAGTCCATTAGCCTCTCTGTGTCTGATTGTAGCCGGAGGTTTGTTTGGACACACAGGAGAGCTGCTAATAGGCTAAAATGAACATGTAGAGCAAAGACGGCGACCGGGGGAAGTATTAAAGTACTAATGACTTTAAAAATAAACCAAACAGCAACAGGCAGTGATGTGAGACTGTACGTATTACAGTTTGCTTCAAGTATCAACCCTGTCCTGTCATTTTGTGACAATCGTCAAGTGTTTAAAAACCCAGCCATCAGCTGGTGTAGCAAATGTTAGTTGTTTTCCTCCACAGTCAGCACTGATGCTCTGTTTGTTTCCATCTATTAAATTATTTAAATGTTAAAAAACATTATTTTATTTATTTATGTCACATTAATTTTAATATTTTCCTGCATTCTCTACTGACCTGGTCGACTGCACCCAGTCTGTGAGGTCTGTCCCTCTACCTAGCAACAGAGCTCAACCGTAGTCCTATCAGAGATATTTAGTTTAAACTAGGTTTTTTATGCCACCGAGGTCATATCATATTGAACTGTCATATTGTTTAAAAAAAAGGGGCAGATTGACATAAAGTTAAATGATACAGATAATGATGAACCAATACTCAAATATAAAGGCTGTGCTGCTTTGGTTAGACTGAGCTGCAAAACTGAGAGAATTTGTGGAAGTTTTTTTTACAAATCCTGCCTGTGTCTGCATACGTAAACACAAACCGGCCAAAACACCCCGTGGATTCTGTCCTCCTCAATCTGTCATTCATTCTCTCTCAGCTCTCTTCTCTGTTGTCTGCATCTCCTAGGTAACAAAACAGCCCACTGTACAGCGACCCTGTGTGTGTGTGGCCTGGCCTGTTTCTGCTTCACAGATTGGCAGCCAGACACAGCCAGGAGCCAGGAGACAGGAGACAGGGGACGGGGGACGAGGGACAGGGGAGGTATGGCGTGGCACTGGCCCGCCACCATCCCTGTCCCTGCACTCTGGGCAGGATGGAGTTAAGCGCCGCACGCTCTTACCTGGTGATGTTGTTGCAGCTGAGAATGAGTCGCTGCAAGCAGGGCAGGCGGTCCACCTCAGCCTGGTCAAAGAAAGAGAAAGAGGAAGAGATGAGAGGAAGAAGCGAAGCGACGTGAGGAGGAGGAGAAGGTTGATGTGAGGAGGACACTGCATCGTCACTGCCGCCCCGGCTCTGTATCCTTCTCCATTCCCACAGTCACCTTGCAGCTCCCAGCCTCAACACACAGCATCCCCTTCCACCCTGCGCACGCACACACACACACACTCAGACAGGCACACACAGCATGCTGCCTTCTCTGCACATGGAGAGGAGGGGCAGCAGCAGAGTGGCTGTGTGTTGGAGAGAGGACGGGGGGATGGGAGGGAGAGGAGAGTGTGTGCTGCGCTATTGCAGGGATCTACTGCTGCAGGAAGCTGAGTCAAAAATCTTACACCACACACACTCATCCAGATGAACCAGCAGCCGATGACAAGCTGCTGCAACACGTCAGGCCGGGGCAAACGCTAAGATTAAATTATTGATTTACTGAAAATAAGATTTAATGAAGGGAACTGTCCAGCTGCTGAGCCCAAGAGCACGTGGACAAAGACATCGTCTCAGGCTTCATTTCCAGCAGTTGACAGCAGGAGCAGCGTGTTTACGTGTCAACAACTGGTGCTACATATGATGGAAGAAAGAAAGAAAGACACGCCCAGCAGCAGCAGCAGCAGCAGCAGCAGCAGCAGCAGCAGCAGCAGCAGCACTGGTCTGAATCAGCTGTTTCAGCATCCGCCCCATGCTGCAGCCACTGCCCCACCCCTACCTTAACCACCACCGCTACTGCTTCAACACTGTGGGGTGTTGGACTGTCAGGATGGCTCTACTTTGCTGCTGCAGCATGTAAATATCCTCCAGTCTGAGATTTCCTCTAGTTTATTTTATCTTATGTAAAATAAAAATAAAATTTTTATTTTGCACCAAAAAAAACTGTCATCAAAAAATAATAATAATTAAAAAAAGCAAGTGCAATATAAAAAACTAGGACTGTGAAATGGGGCTTTTGATGAAATCAAAACTTTTTTTCCTGCAGTGTGTGCAAATTACAATAAGTGAAGGAAATGTAGAATTATTGTATTTATAGTGTGAGACATTTGGCCCAAGCGTGAAGTGCTTTAATGTGATAACTTTTAAACATAATTATCACAGTCATGTGATCTGTTGAGATTGTTATTATGTGTTTTTTTAAGGTGAATTTGTGGAAACATTTGAAAAATTTGAAAAATGTAAAAATGTGATGACTGCCTGCAGTACCTCTGCAGAATCTCTAGGGGCCATGTACCTGTAAGTCTGCAGCAAAGGTGTGGGTGAAGACACAATTGTCTCATCCAACTGCTGAACAT